AGATTCTGATTTCAGTTTCAGAAAATACTACATCAAGTGTACTTTGCATTTACATCAATAGGAGCATTTGATTTTCATTTTAATGCATTGGACTGTCTGTATGGAAAAACAAAAATATTTGGAAATCAAGCAAAAGCTAAAAGCCAATGTTTGTAATAAAGTACATAACTTTGGCTGTATAATATCAAACTTTAATATAATTCCAGAATTCAACATAAGAAGAAAAAGAGATTATATTCTTAAATGAACCTGAACATTTCAGTTCAGAATTACTGAATGGCTGATAGGTTTATATTGCAGAATTTGTTTTCAGTGCAATCATAAGCTGAACAGGTTTCATTTAAACATTTTACATTTTTTGCAGGATAAAAATGGGTTTCACAATGTGAATTTGTTTGCATGTATGTTCTGCTTTGATAAAAAGCTAAATTAATGACGTTAACAGGGAGAGCTTTACACAGAAGAATGTTGACAGACTTTGTTTTGGAAACCGTATCTGAATCACACTATGTTCAGATGTACACCTCCAGGACAGAAAGGTATGTATGGCCATCTATGTGCTATTCCAGATACTTAAAGGAATATACTTGTACTTGACCTTTGGAAGGGCTAAGCCCAAGATCCTTTGTATGACTAATACGTGCTTTGGGGTTTCCATTTATTCTCTGGATATGGTGTGCCTGTGTCTTATTGTAGATTTTTCCAAGATGAAGGATTATCATTATCGTTTGCACAATTCAAAACAATTTATATTTGAATGATACTACCGGATTCTTATGATTGTTCAGAAGCTAAGTACCATGTGGTGTCATGAAACATACTTTGGAGAAAGTGCTTAAGATGGCAGTTTTCCTGAGAGAGACGTTGAAAATATAGGCAATAAAACCTAGCACTAAGCAGAGTAGGAGTACAAATTATAGATTTTATATGTAGTGTCAGTATCTGAGACAGCGCACCATTCGAAGTTGCTACAACGCACTGTTTCAGAGTCACCACACACCCGCAGGAGAGGGATGCATGGGGGCACAAATGGGTAATGTGATTCACACTGAGAAAGGAGCCAGGAAGGCAAGCCAGCTGCGGTTGGTTCAGAAGCCATCCAGGCCTGAAGACTACTTGTAGGAACCACCAAGGAGCAACTGGGCTCGAAGAGTACTTGCTGGATACAGGCCCACAAAGTACTTGCTGGAGCCAGCTGGGAGCAACCAGGAACAAGAGGGTGGGACATGTGGAGTCTGTATAGCCAGCTGACTAGCAGAAGCCAGTAATGCTGGCTAAAAACTCTTTTACTTGTATTGTTCACCACGTGCCAAGCTAAGACTCTAGTAAAGAGACCTGTTCTGCTCATAATGTGGCCTCTTCTTTTGCTGGCTTGGTTTGGAACCGTGACATGTAGCTGAAAAAAAAAAAGGCAAAAACTGAAGAGGGTAGTCAGGCTTCTAGTGATAAATTATCCAGCTCAGTGTGAATAAGTTAATTTGCATTAAATATGTGCAAAACTTCCAGTTGATTGTGATGGAGACAGATGACTGCAGATGTCAACGTGGGAATAAATATACGTTGTATATTTTTAGTAACTTTAAGGAAATCTTGTCAGTTATCTGAACATTCCATATGTCAATTCGTAAAACATTCCAATGCCTGTTTTCAAGTTGCCATAAACAAAGGGGGAGAGGGAGGAAATCTGAAGAAGTATGACTGGATCTTCTGGCTGAGAAAATCCTTTATTGGAGAACATGATTGATGACACCAGGCCCGTGCTTCATTGGAGAATCTGATTTATGATAGACCCAGGGGGGAGGGGGGAAACAGGGTCACAGGTGACTATGAATTAGGTATGCTGGCATGTTGCTCCTAATAAATCTTTTGAGTTTTTTTGAAGCATGGCTCGAGGCTCATGATTTAATTAGAGCTATCGCCAGGACCCCGACACTATACTGATATATTCCACATGAGAATACATAAGCTATTTACAGATCCCTGACTTAATAGTAATTTATTGTGTACAATCATCTTGCAGTTTCATTTATAAATTGTAAGAGCGTTTAATTACTGGGCTAGTCTCCTCTTCCTATTTGATCCCAATTTGTCAAGTGGTGCCTCCTGAAGCCAATGAATTTCTCCACTCCTTCCTGCAACAGCTGGATTACATTTTTATCCAATTGTATACTTACCTTTGCTTTTTCTCTGGATTTCCCTCCCCCAAATTCAAATTATGCAAACAATAATCTATTATTTGAAAACAGGGTACCGAATATCTGAAATTTGTTTAAATTATCACAATGTAAAATCGCCTTTTGGTACATAGTTCATAAAACCAACAATTAATGTGAACATTATCTGAGGTGGACACAGCTAGAGAGGACTGATTTCTCAATATCCCATATAATATGTGCTTCTGCCCTTGCTCTAAGGAGATTATAGAATATTTTATCTATTAGTTATTGTATTGCTCTATTCACCTGGAAAGCTTCAGGATCCCTTCCTTCCTGGTAAGAAAATTATTTTATCCTGATACATAGAAAATCGAATATCTAATGAATTTAGATAACAATGCTACAGAAATTAGCAAGCTTTGCATGGGCTGCTGCTAAACAAGAGACAATATTTTATGAAAAGTTCCTAAGACTAATATTGTATTTGCTACAATAATACTGCTTTAATGCTTTTTACTGATTTTTGCAGATTTTAATATTTTATTAATATTTTGTGCATATTTATTTGTTACAACCATTGGTCAGAACAATAAATTGAATTGAATTGAATCGGGGGAATAAATGACAGTTCAATAAAGGGTTAAGATATTCCCACTTGCAACTGTTTGCTGCAAGTCAAGAGAAAGAAAAAGCACCATAAAAATTAATCACAGCAATAGTATCCACTGCAGATTCTTTACTAAGTTTTACTCTTGTGTAAAAGAAATTCATCTTAGTTCTTTTAAGTCACTTTTGAAAAATAGTCAAGGCACTATTCCATTTCATATGATAGATATCATTAGAAAGAATCATAATTAAAATAATTCCTACATTGTGCTAAACTCAGTATGTTGTGCACAGTGGTTTGATTCTTCCAAGAATTTGTTGCCATTCTATATTATAACATTTCAGGAGCTGTAAAAAGCATACATTTAATTTCACTATAATTTCTACAATATGTATTTTTGCTTGAATATATTCATTTAGTAAGACTTCATTAGGTTTAAAGTTTCCCTAGCTTGTTTCACACGAGTTTTAACTTCTCATTTGCAAAATAAAATGTGTTGGTGTACATAAGAAAAAAAGAGGTAAAGATTTCTCCACGGTCTATAGAGATCATCGGTCATTCAGGTCATGGTTGTCCTAAAGGTGCTTTTTCAAGGAGGCAACTGGATTTTTTTCTCTGGAAATCCATTCCTACTCCCACACCATTCAAAGGGTGCTCATCCCCAATTTTGCAGCCAAAAACCTGTAGAGAATTTCAGTCATCCAGGTCATGATTGTCCCAAATGTGCTTTTTCAATTTTTTTTTTTCAAATTGCAGACTTACAGGAACCAGGAGCATTGCTCGGGTGACCCTGAGGACACAGATAAACCTCCAAGTGCCTCAACAACCCTCTAAATGGATGCAAATGACCAGCTGTGTGCAAGGAATATAAATCCTTCCATTTCCTACTATCCTGTCAGAGCTGAAGAAACTTAGAAGCTTCTTGGATGAGAAGTGAAATGTGAAAGAAAAAACAAGGAAGTCCAGTTGCCTCCTAAAAAAACACCTTTCAGTTGTCCTCACAGGTTTTACCTTATAGTTGTAACCAATTTTAGGTGTGGGAGGGAGCAGTGCTCATCTCCCTTTCTTAAGCCAAAAAGCCAGCATTATATGGAGACATTTCTGCAGTCATGTGGCCAGCATGACAGCACATTGCAGCACAGAATGTACAGTGAAACACGGAACACTGCTACCTTCTTGCAGGTTTATATGCGTTGCCTATTTATCTACTTGCATGTGCAGGCTTTTGACCTGCTATGTTGGTAGCAGCTGAGACAAGTGATGGGCGCTCACTCTGCATTACTGCACTCAGTCTTGTGCCGCTGAGCTGTAGATCTTTAACTATCTAAGATGCAGTTTCCTAACCACTGAGCCACTGCATCCCATGTTGGTGTTCATAAGGCACACAAATATAAGGACAACATATTGCTATTTCAAAAACTGAAACAAAAATCCTTGGTTTTTTTTGTTAATTGTTGTTTTGGTTTGTGCCTATAACTCAGCTTATATTCGTTTGTGAAAAATCACAAACATGTCCAGAAAAAAATATATCAGACAGACGATTAACTTTTAAGGCTATGAAAAGAAAATAACCTGATTTTCAGAGGATTAATACCGATGGACTTCTCAGTTCATAAAGAGAACTTCCGATTCCACCTCTGATTTCTTTGCTATCCTCTGTGCTAATGCATATGTCTCCAAAATGGACGGTATCTTGTTAAAGGTTTTCAACATTCCATGCTATTCTTAGTTTTTGTTAGTCTATTCTTCAATATTCTTTGGAAAACTGGGAAGTTGCCCAGACTCTAATTAGCAAGAAAGGGCAAACTATGTGTTCTCATAGTACAAATAGTCCTCAATTTACGATTGTAATTAAGCCCAGAACTATGGTCATAAATCATGCCAGTTGTTAAGCGGGTCATCACGTCACCAACTTATTTTTACATTTTATACAATAGTCATTAAGCAAATCACCATGATTGTTAAGTGAATCTACCACAGTCATTAAGCAAATGCCAAGGTCATTAAGCAGTCAATAAGCAAATGCCACAGTCATTAAGCAAATGCCAAGGTCGTTAAATGAACCAATTGCCCGCAAAGAATGATTTAGAGATAAGCACAAGTTCCTGGCAAAAAATATTGTAAATAGTGATCGCATGACTGCAAAATGCTTCAAATGGCTGCAAATTTGGGCAGGTTGTGAACACCCAAAATATAATCACAAAGGGGAGGGGGCAGTACTTTTTTTGTGTATGTCGTAACTCTGAATGGTTACTAAGCAATCAGACATAAGTCGAGGACTACCTGTAAGAACCCAAGTTATTCCTTGTTTAAGAGATTATCTGCATATCCAACAGGATAGACAACACCCAGCTTATTCAGGAATGCCCTGAATAAACTGAAAACATATCAGGTTCATTTTCCTTTATGGAAAAAATCATCCAATCCCAGCAAAGATTAAGAGTTCTCCTTAGTCCAAGCTTCAAAGGCACTGTCTCCTCAGAACATTCTTTTGTAAAATTCGGAGCCTTGACATTACTACATCCCAGTCTGCGTAGGCTCCTTCAAGATGACGGGATGTTTCCGCTCCTGCCTGGTAACTCTGCCGACCATGAAGTAAACGCCAATTATCAAATACCACTATGTCACCTAGAAAGAAGGCAAAGGATTATTTTAAAATAAAATCTGTGGTAAATACATTTATACTAATTAGAGATACGATGGAACAGAAAGGCTTACTGGTACAATATTTAGAACTACTGAAGCCAATAATTCTCTAAATAGAGCTTAACTTGTGATGATTGCACTGGTATGCAGTTTTCTTGGCATTTTTTTTTCAAAATAAATAAAAGTAGTTTGTCATTGCTTTCTTCAGAGATTTTTTTTCTAACTTCTCAGTGTAGCCTATAGCAGGGGTCCCCGACCCCTGGTCCATGAGTCGGCACCAGTCCATGCATGCCAGAAACCGGGCCACACAAACAGCATGCAGGAAGCACACGAAAAAACGCCCCCTCTGGTCTGCGGAAAAACCTCTCTCCACAGAACTGGTCCCTGGTGGCCAAAATGTTGGGGCCTGCTGGCTGATAGCATTCAAGTTCTCTCATGACCACTTACTGAAGTATTAGGAGCATGGTGGCCTGGGTGGTTGGGCTGCTTGGGAGGAGGCTAGCAAGCCCATGTTTGATAACTGAGAGCTGCCATGGGGCGGGTTAAGCTCTCGTCCTTCACTCCAGCTCCTCCCGGGGATATGAAAGGAGCCCCAGCTGGCATTCTCAGGGCAACAGTGATGTCACTGGTTAATTTTTCAACCTAGAAGTGCCTCGGTGCTTCTGACACAAGTGCAAAATACTGAAGTGCTAATCATTTTCAACCAAAGTAGGCCTGGCACTGCCAAATGCACTTAATATGCAAATGAGCTACAGTGGCACAGGGGTTAGAGTGCAGTACTGAAGGCTACTTCTGCTGCCTGCCGGCTGCCTGCAATTTGGCAGTTCAAATCTCACCAGGATCAAGGTTGACTCAGCCTTCCATCCTTCTGAGGTGGGTAAAATGAGGAGCCAAATTGTTGGGGGCAATATGCTGATTCTGTAAACTGTTTAGATGGCTGTAAAGCACTATAAAGTGGTATATATGTCTTATTGCTATTTGGAGAAATTTGCTTCAGATGCATTTGTATATATGTGCGTCCATCTCTCTATCTCCACTATCACTTCAGAATGCATTTTAAGAAAAATGAGCACTGCATGTGATAGGTATTCAAAAAAGAAAATATTTATGTAACAAAATAACAGAATAACAGAGTTGAAAGGGACCTTGTAGGTCATCTAGTCCAACCCACCCCTCAAGAAGGAGATGCCTGTCATTTCTGACAGATGGCAGTTTAGTCTCTTCTTGAAAGCTTCCAGTGGTGAAGCTCCCACAACTTTTGAAGGCAGATTACTTCCTTTGCCCATTCCCTTCCCTGGCTCTCTCCTAAAAGCTGGGGAGGATTGACAACGAAGTAAAAAAGAAGTCCCAAAGGTGCTTTTTCCAGAAAGCAACTGGATTTCTTCAGTTTTTTTTTTTTTAAAAAAAACATTTGGCTTCTCATCCAAGAAACTTCTTTAGTTCTTTGGGACAACCATGGCCAGGATGCTTGAGAATCTCCATAAATAAGTAAATAAGGAATTTTATTATTTTGGCTAATAAAAAAATTAATGAAAGAATGACATGGGATACAAATTTATAGAACAGAACAGCAGATTTTGCCTGGAGCCCTTAATAGTTGGAGAATTTTCTGAAGGAGTGTTTGTATATTTCTTCCTATTTCTACTGAAAGACTTTTACATCAACTGGAAAAAAAATCTGATTACCATTTCATCCAGGCCTACCTGGCTTCATTTTGTATGAATATTTATAATCCGTGCTATTTAGGAGACCAACATAGTCTTTAAGAGCAGCATAAAATGGCTTTACTTTTTCAGCAGGTATGTCAAATATTGTATCTCTGGTTGCATTGTTAAAATTGATACGAACCACTTGGCCCTTTTCATCAACACTGTTGGGAAATGAGAGAACAATTCAGGTTATCCTCAAATTTTTCAACAGTTTTACATAACACCATTCTTTATTCGCTGGTTTTTTAAATGGGCTAGGCTTATAAACCTTATAATGAATAAACTATGAGACTTAAAATGAATAAACTGCTGCATGGTAAATAACTGAGAATTTGACCGGTTCATTTTAATAAAGCAATTAAATTTCCCAACATTTCCTTATAAATTTGAGAATAGGGAAAAGTTAAAATGAAAGCAAAACTAGATAGATTTAGTTCATCCTGGCAGAGACAAGTGTTTTGCTTTTAAATTTTGAGGCTTCATTATGGTTTATACAGTTACATGTTTAGTGTGACATTGGATTGTTATCACCTCTTTTATTACGAAAAATGTCTTATCCTCTAAAATGAATGTAGGAGAAATCCTCTAAAATGAATGTAGGAGAAATTAAACCAACCATTTGCCCATTATAAAGCTTTTTCCACCCAGCAGTACTTTGTTAAAGTGCTTTGCTGAGGGCTTTAATAACAAAAAAACCAAAATTACATGCAGATTTCAATAATGTCATAACATATCATATACATCCATATCCACTCTCTCAATATGATAATATGAATAGCACACACATTTTTAAAAACTGATTTGTATTCCTGTCCACAAGGTGGCAGGCATAGCCTTAGCATTTTTTATTTTGTTCAATAAAACTGACTGCCCAGGGTTCACCAGTGAGATAGATGGTCATATAAATATGCTAAATAAATAAAGCAAAAAGATACTTTTGATTGCAATTCAGGAATAAGCACCTAGACAACATCAGATAAAAAGATATCACATCATTCAATGTTACCTACTCTATAATTCTTTGTTTGGCTTGCATGGCAAAATCACAGTAATCAACTCCAATGTCTGTGAAATCTACAAATGTAGAGGTCAAGATTTTGAAGGCATAAGGATTTTGCTCCTTAAACCGATTGGCTACATGAAATCCATCCACAACTTCACTCTCCCCTCCAGTAGAAGTTTGTTTTATACAATGCAGAAGCTGAATCTAGAACAAATTAACATCAGGTTATTATTATAAGTTCAGCATTATGCTCTACATTTTATTTTATATCATAAATGTCTTTAGAAGTCTCATTATTATATAACATGACACGCTTCTTTACAAATCCCAAAACTAGAAACATGAAGAGATTGTAAAGACTGCTGGCAAAACTTTTTGTTTAAAACTATGTTTTTAAAAACCCTAACAAGCATTTGAAAGAAATATCTTGGTGTGATTCTTGGCATAAATTAAAATATGAACTTTCTTTTCTTTTCCATTTAAAAACTTCCCCTTGATTGCCATACCATATGTATTGTACAACCTCTAAATGAATTTTCAAGGTAATTCCCAAATCTGAAAAAATGGCATCTATTTAGTAGCACATGATCTGCTTAATCCATCAAAAGTATGATACCACAGATTGTTTGAAGGCCTTGAGTAAAAATTTCCTACAGCAACACACATACCACATTAATCTCCCCATCTTTGCAAATACAGCAAGAAAGGAAGGAAATATGGGCAGTATTAGAAGTTCAGTAGGTTATTAAAATACTGAACAGAAATACGTATACATTTTCTCCACTGAAACATCATGGGTTTTCTCCTATGAGTCCATCAGAGAAATTCTAAGCATTTCTCTGCAATACACTGTATAGTTATTACAGTAACATGCATTTTGAGCTGAATGTTATTTAGTACATGGTTGATTTAAAGTGTTTATGTAGAAAATAACTTGGAATCAATGTAAACCTCACCAGAATTGATATTCATAAAGGCCAATTTGCACCATTTGAGCTTCTTATAAATGTAAATAAAATGATTATACTGAATTAGAGCTCTGACTGCTGCATGTGTAGATTTCAGATTTCCCTGTTTTCTATTAGGAGACTTAAATGATGTCAACTTTGCATTTCTTTAGAACAGGGATGCCAAACTCCTGGCCCACTGGCTGGATGCGTCACGTGCTGGTCACACCCCCACCCGGTTTAGCAAAGGGGAAAAAAGTCCTGATACGTCACATGACGTTGCTGTGACAACGTGAGTTTGACACCCCTGCTTTAGAATCTTCTTAATGCAATGTTCACTCTTACACAATACATGAATAGGTTTGTCAGCTAAAAATTCAGGGTATGTGACATAAATTAACACTATAGATAACACAATATTACAAACTGTGTGCATCTGCGACTACACCTGAGCTGATTACAACGGAATTGAGAAATACTAACCTCAAACAATACAGTATAGTGGTCTCCAGATGTTTTGGTCTCATCAGCCCTATAACTATGGTGAACTGCAAAATATTGCAGCTGTTGTAAAATGTCTGAATGAGTACAAGGTTGCTTACCTCATACATTTTTATGAATCGGCAGAAGCAAAGGTATATCTGGAAGTAAGATCTGGTACCAAATGCTATTGTATCACCAGTGCTATTTAAAATTTATTTGAAGCTATTTGTACCGAAGTTAGGGAACTAAGAGCAAGATATAATTTAAATCAGAAGAGGTTGTCCACTATCAAGAGAAGCATTTGAGCCTAGGAGTGTTCACTTGTAGTGGAATCTTGTGAACCAATGGCTCCCAAATCAAGAACTACTTGTTCTCAATGGGTTGTACTTTTCATAATTTACTGAATTTACAGAATAAGAACAGAGTTGGAAGGAACCTTGGAGGTCTTCTAGTCCTCTAATCCAACTCCCTGCTCAGGCAGGAAACCCTATACCATTTCAGACAAATGGCTGTCCAAACTCTTCTTAAAAACTTTCAGTTGGAGCATTCACAACTTCTGGATGCAAGTTGTTCCACTGATTAATTGTTCTAACTGTCAGGAAATTTCTTCTTAGTTCTAAGTTGCTTCTCTCCTTGATTAGTTTCCACCCATTGCTTCTTGTCCTGCCCTTAGGTGCTTTGGAGAATAGCTTGACTCCTTCTTCTTTGTGGCAGCCCCTGAGATATTGGAACACTGTTATCATGTCACCCCTAGTCCTTCTTTTCATTAAAATAGACATACCCAATTCCAGCAACCATTGTTTATATGTTTTATCCTCCAGTTCCTTAATCATCCTTGTTGCTCTTCTGTGCCCTCTTTCTAGAGCCTCAATATCTTTTTTACATTGTGATGACCATAGCTGGATGCAGTGTTCCTAGTGTGGTATCATCAAGACATCATAAAGTGGTATTAACACTTCACGTGATCTTGATTCTGTCCCTCTCTTAATGCAGCCCGAATCTGTCCTCTTCATTAGAGGCACAGTTACCTATTACTATCTGCATTTCATAAATTGTCTGTTTTTGGACTTGGAGAGCTTGACAATTAGATTTCCTGCAATGAGCGTCTCAAAATTGGATTATTATGATGATGTGCTTTGTGAACTTGGGAATAGTTCAGCACTGCAATTAGTTCAGAAAACACTAGGAAGATGATTAAGCATGTCTGAGTTCTACTGTGTTAATGAGCCGGGTTCAAGATGTTTGTGTTTATTCACAAAGCTCTAAACAATTTGGAATCCGATTAACTCAAATAATACCATTATCTATTTAAACATTCAGGACCTTCGGGAGAGGCTCTACTGTTCACGACACAGTTGTAAACTGGGTCCTATGGGAAATTCTGACACAGATGCCAATGTTGGTGTGTTTTACATTTTCTTTGAAACCACTTCTTTTTATGTTGGTCTTCCCTGAATAGAATTCATAGGCTCCCAGTTTCTACTCTGGTGCCTTTAATCATTACACCAAACTAGCTCTCATATAACATAATACATGGCTAATCAAAATATTTTACATATTACTATGCTATTAGCACCCATTTTACTGCTGCCTTATTTTTTGTTTCTCTTACCCCTGGTGGAGATTGTAGAACAGGGTAATCAGTATGAAAACTCAGCTTCTCAGTTGTGTACGCCACATTGTTGGCATCCAATTTGTTTTGCACTTGCCAAGTAGGCCTTTATAAGGAACAAGAAAGGAAAAATAAAACTATAATAATCTGCCTGTAAAATCTAGATGCAAATTATACAGATCCAAAAACTGTCTAATCATAAAATTAATATCCACATTAAAGTACCAATGCCTCACTGTTTTTATCATTTTATTTATTAAACTTAAAAAATGCAGATAATCATCATTTAAGATGGGGAGGGTAATGATTGCAATCACAGGTGGCAAGGAAAAGAGAGAAGTGGGTTTTGAGTTTCTTCTTCTTCTTCACCCTGCAAAACTGCTCTTTCCTTCAGGGGAAAAGCAACTAATAACACATCTGGAAAGGAATATTCAGATCTGAAATTCCCTTTCCTGAAAAATAATATCCCATGAGCTTTTATTTGTATTCATCCATGTAAACAATTAACTGGCAATGCTTTGCATCGCTAATTACTATAATAGTCTATTTGTTTTTCTTTTCTGAACACTGAAGGCGATTCCAATCTCAAATTGGCATGCTAAAGGATGCCAATAACCAATTCCAAGAAAATCCAAAAAAGATGAAATATACTGAAATACTGTACAGTACATTTGTCCATATCCAGTATACATTAGAAAATACTCCCCATTTACAAGAAATTCTAATACTAGAGGATGAAGTCAGATCAACATTCCAGTCATTGCCAAATCAGAAGGCTACAGGCCACAAAAATATGACAAGCACAAAAATAATAATCAATAAACATTTTTATGAGGATATTTCAAATAAATTTGGAGAATGGTACAGATTGAAAGATGTCAATCTATTTACTGGAATATAGTAACGTGATGTAACAGTGTGTGCAAACTACTGTGCAATATCCCTAATGTCACATGCTGACAAAATAATGCTTAGGATTGTCCAACACAGATTACAGTTCTGTGTAGAAAGGGAAATGTTCAAATTGGTTTTAGAAAAGGGTTAGAACAAGAGCTATTAAAGCTGATGAATACTATATACTGTATATACTCGAGTATAAGCCTAGTTTTTCAGCCCAATTTTTGTGCTGAAAAAATCCCCCTCGGCTTATACTCGAGTCAGATTTCCCTCTGGAAAAAAAATGGTGTGGAGTCGCGGCCTCCGGCGGCAGCGACTCCCAACAGCCCCAGCCGGGAAGGGAAAGGCAAAAAGCGCTTTGCCTTTCCCTTCCCGAGGCGGCGGGACTGGGGCCGCGCCGGCGGTAGTGACTCCTGACTCAGGGGGCCTCCGAGGGAGGGGAAGAGAGTGACTCCTGCCTCCCGCTGTCATCATCATCTTCTTCTTTTGGGTTAGTTAATCAATTAAACCTTTCATGATAGTGAGATCGTTTCCCAAATTAATTATTTTTATTTTTGAAATTTACCAGTAGCTGCTGCATTTCCCACCCTCGGCTTATACTCGAGTCAATAAGTTTTCCCAGTTTTTTGTGTAAAATTAGGTGCCTCGGCTTATATTCGGGTCGACTTATACTCGAGTATATACGGTAATTGCAAAGTCAAAGAAGACAAAAAAAATAGTATATATATATATGTATGTATGTTAGTATATGTGTTGCTCTGATTATAAGAAAGCTCCTTCATTGTGTCAGTCACATCATGTTGTTGAAGATGCTAGGAATCCCACAACATCCCATTGTCTTCATGTGAATCCTATATATAAGTGAGGAAGGTAAAACATGAACAAAACAAACTGGGTCTGGGTTGGCAAAGGAATGAGAAAGGCTGTATACTTTGAGAAAGGCTGACAATATGGATTTGAAGTACATCCGATCCTAAGTTTAGGGACTTGTTTAGCAATCATTTGTAAATGCAATGGCAATAAATGATAATTTAAAGAAATGATTTTGAACCAAGGTGCATATTAACCATCAAATATTGTGATGAGCTGAGCTTAGTAATTTGGAGTTAGCACTCTTTAAGGTAGTGCTCCACTGCAGAGAAAAACAACTCAGGAAGAGGTAACTTGCTTAAGCAATCTGCCAGGGGCTTAACTGGCAACGGCTTATAGATATATAAAGTTAGTAATTCTGTAACAATTAGCACAGTTCACTGGATTTACATGTCATGTTAAGCCATAAATCAGTTTGCACAACATAAGCCCAGACAATTTATTGATCAAAATTTAAGAAATTATGGATGAATTTTGATTTAGTAGGCTACAATGATCAATGACATTCATAGTAATTATAATGCAAATGTGTTTGTATTGGTTAATTTCTGTCCCTTTCATTTATAGGGTCTTCTATTAGTTCACTACTTGAAAATTATTTACATCTGTCTTATTCAAACGCTCCTTAAATTTCTATAGTATTTGCCTCTTTTAGATATGTTACTTAGATGACAGCTGTAAACTAAACATGGCATAATTGTTTAATTTTCCCCCCCAAAAATAAATAAATTCCTTCTAAAAAAGATCATTAAAAGTCTATTAAATTCATTGTATTTAAAGAAATACATTAATAATTCAAATCTTTGTGGCTTAGTAATTAATGTTCAAATGTCAAAAGGATTCTGATACAATTTTTAAAAAGCGTCCTCACACACTGAAGAAATCAGTTTCAAATACAACAAAGTGTGCTCAATTAGATACAGAAAAGATTTTGTACATGTTGATAAGTGCTTGTGTCTTTTTTTCCTTAAAAACTATGCAGGTCATGTATTGTAGCATAACTAAAACCAGAGAGATATCTTTTAGATCTAAAAAGGTTCCAGTCAGTATGCCACAGTTAAAAACTATACAAGTATGCAATCTTCAATTAAGCTGTATCCATAACAGAATAATGACTCAAGGTTGTCCAGGATTTGGCTGGAAAAGTAGTCCATGCTCCAAATATTGAACCTCATCATACTGAAGATGGTATGAGGGACACTGAATTACAGCATGGTGTTCATATGCAATCCTTGGAGATGTACGACTTTGCCATGATACAGAAATATTATAAAGTTCTCAGTAACTTTCTCATCCTGAAGGAAATGAACGTGTGTAATTACCATAAAATTGAAACTTCCATTCTACCTAAGGAAGAGATGTGCACTATGATATAGTTTTTTGGGTGTTAAAAAAAACAAACTTCACCGTCCTCTTTCCTGAAACTTTAAATTTCAGCCCTTTTCACATCATTTTATTTTATGCTGTTGCACACAGACTTCATTCAGTGCATTTTGCTCCTCGTCGTCCCCACCCACTGGGCTAATCCTCTGCCGAACATTGCCTGCTTAATTCATCACATATTCACTATCCGTTACAGTCAACTGGCAGAAATAATTTTTCCAAACCACTGCTTTGCTATTTTTAACTCGTAACAAACTCTTCTATTTAACAAACATTAACTTGCTCTTTTGTGGGAATTTCAGTATAGCTTAACTTGGTTGGTCATAGTCAATTAACTCAACCCCAAGTAGTTAAACCATTTTGTAATTGGTTTCCCCCCTCTCTCTGTGCATGTATGGGTGTGGGGGTTTGTACGAATGAGACAGAATTATAAAATAAACAGTACGTTTTTCTCTAAATGCAAGGGAGGATACTGTAAAAACTATCCTTCTTTCCTTCCTTCCCTTTATTTGTGTAGCTTAATATGTTTTTTTTTTTTAAGTTAGTAGACTTGAGTTTATCCTGAAATCACCAGAAAAAAAGAGAGGCTATTTCAAAATGGCCTTTTACTTCATGGTGAAAATGCAACATGAGATGCATATCCAGTGCCAAGTATCTTCTGCTGGAGCATAATGACTTATTCTCTATTTTTGAGAGTGTTTTTCTGCATAGATTCCACAAACAGCTCTGACTTCCAATTTTTATTGTTCCGATAGAAGACAATATCTGTAGCTCGGGGTTTAATTGTGGAATACCATAGAGAACTCTACAATTTTATTGTTTATAACAAACCATTTCTGCCTAAGGGATGAAGATGTAGTGATTTTCCTTCAAATATTCACAACTACTTTTCCTCTCCATTAGTAACTACATGACAAATGAGAGATAAAAAAAAACCTCTACGTTATTAGTTCTCAACATTAGAGTGAATTTGGATGTACATATTCTTCCAGTCCTCAACATACAAACAATCCTTTTATGAACAGGTTATGTTCTAAGATGCTGTTTGTCAGTCCATTTGGTTCATAAGTACAATCAAACATATATTTAAAAATGCATGGTACCTTACATAACTTAAGCCACATTTCTTCTTCTCCACCTGATCAACTGTGGACTAACCCTAACCCTCGTGCCTTCTAAGCACCAGCAAATGCCTTGACTTCCTCTTACCCCTTACTTGTAGGGGATGGCCAAGAATGCATCCTCCCAGCTAGTAGAGGGAGACCAGTTCTGGGTCCAGAAATCCTTTCCGGCATAGATCCACTGCAGCTTTGGCCACCAGCTCTAGGGCCTGGCTTAGAGTTGTTCCATGGGGACTGTCATTGGGGAAAGGCCATTGACAAGACCATCAGGTGCTGCATCCTTTGTGACCCATAGGCAGAGGACTAAGGTACACACTGGTTGGTCTGGATTCTATGAACAGCAGTAGCAGTGGTGGGATTCAAATTTTTTTACTACCAGTTCTGTGGGCATGGCTAGGGGGCGTGGCCATGTGACCAGGTGGACGTGGCTTTTTTTTTTTTTTTTTGCAGCACATCCCATTTTTTGGGCCTTCTGGGCCTCAGGCAAGCCTCCTGGGGGGAGGGCATTTTTGCTCCCAGAAGGCTTCCCTAGGGCTCAGGAAGGCAGAAAATTCAGCCGAAGGGGGCATGCAGCACTCCCCCATGCTTTGTTTTGGGGCCTTCTGGGCCTCAGGGAAGCCTCTGGGGGGAACGTTTTAGTTCCCAGGCTTCCGTAGGGCTTAGAAAGGCAGAAACTGAGCCTGGGGTGTGTGTGTGCGTGCAGCACCCCCTCACACTTCATTTTGGGGCCTCCCCGGGGCCTAGGAAGGCAAAAAATGGAGCGGGGTTGCCTTCTGGGGCCTCAGGGAAGCCTCCTGGGTGAAGCAGTAAGTAAGCGAGGGGAATTCCAGCTGAT